TAAGTAGCGTTTACTAACAAACGAAAAGAATTTCAAGATGGTCTAATAAGCATTATTGGGGCTAAGCTGCCCCTCCCCCAGAACTTTGCAACTTAATGACAGACCTATGACGTAACGAAAACTCGATTTAAAGACTTTAAACCACATTGGGCACAGTATCAACAGACAATAGTCAATATTATGTTATTTGTATCATCATAATTTGATATAAGTAATATATTTAATTGTGTTAGATGTTGGAATTAAAACTGACAACGACGACGCGCATCCCCGTGGATTTTGATTTCCTTCAAAAGCTCTTCCAGATGACAGAAAATCAAAGAATCAAACAAAGGTATCTCATAACAATAACGATATCGTTAGTTTTAAGAACAATAAAAGAAAACCATTGCGTTTGTGTGCCGCATAACGAGGAGCCCGTACGTTACGCAATCATGAGATTGACGCCGCGATATAATTTGCTGCTTGGTTTGTGAAAGTACGTAGGTCGTGTATAATCGTCTATAATCTTTTGAATTTTCTTACATGCTCCTTGTTCTCGGAACTCGGCGGACAACACCTACTTACCTGTCTGCCAGCCTTAAACATATGTGTACTGCGCACGAATCTAATGCATAAATGTATAATATCTTATATATACGAGTAGTTAGTAGAAGTTCTCTCACTTTCAATCCTCTCTCTTATTAACTCTATCTCACTCCACCCTTATTATTCTCTCTCTCTCTCTCTCTCACACACACACACACGCACACCAAACCATGGTAGGAAAATGTTATACATAAGTATAAATAAATATAACTTAATCGATTTAAAATCAAATTTCTTAGTACCTATACTGTACGTTCTCGATTTTTCTTGAATTTTTTTTTCATCTTTCGATTTTTATATTATATTAAGCATACAGGGTGATTCGCTGAGCTTACTCACCCCTTTTTATAACATAAAAATAAATGTATTTAAAGTAAATAGAAATATATATATAAAGAAAAATACAATTTTTGATTATATTTGAGGATAATAATATTTCTAAATACTTAGTAATTGTTTTTGAAGATTAATAAGGAGGGTGGATGATAAAAAATTGTTTGTTCAAATAAGAACCACCTAGTGTGTTGTTAATCGTATAATTGTTGACGACAATTTCGACAAAACTAGATAGATATTCGAAAGTTATTAAACTTCAACACAAAACATAATAGTCTTCAATAATGATTTTACATAAATTAATGAATATATGTAATATTTAGTCATAGTACTTATTATGTTCGGACAATTTTTATAAATTGTAAAATTATAATACATTAATATTAGTTAGTTTAATTTTCAAATTGCTGTAAACCCCATATCTAGTAAACTATTATTATTAAAGCCTATGCATTATAATGTTAGTAGGTACTTTAAATATAATAAGTAATAATTCCGAAACTATTGGTTAGAATTTCAAACTATAGGAATACATTATAATATTCCTTAACTACACCTTTAAATATTTACAATAAAATAGGGTAGGTTGTTCTCAAATGAAAAACAAGAAACTTGTATCACCTCATCAAATGACACTATTCTGGAATTACGTAATGTAAAGAACCAAAAGAACCAAGTATTAGAAAACATAATGTCTTTAGGCTTTAAGTATACATACTTAAAATTTTAAAATCTGAATTTGAATAAATTCATCATTGCAGGAAAAAACGGGGTGAGCATTAAGTATGCTCGATGAATCACTCTGTATAATATAACACATCAGGTTTTACAATAATACGTTTAATGTATATACGCAAACGAAATAAATTAATAATTATCTTGACCCGGAATGCCCCGCGGGATGCACAGCAATTCTACGACCGCTGCAGCGGCGTTGTCGGACCGAGTGAACACAACCGTTCCCCACCCCGTTTTCGAAAACTATCGTAGCTCGGAGGGAGTGTCGCGGAACGAAAAATACCGGCTTCGCTAGGCTGATGGTATAAGTGCGAGTATAGTGCGCGGATAATGGACGATAGTAAATATATAGTATATCGGGTACCATAATATACTATATATTGTTTAATATATAATATATATTTTTTACCTGAATGAAATAATAAGGTCAAATTAACAAAAACTTAAGTTTGGTTGTTGTTGTTCGTTATTCGTATTCATATTATTACATGTTATTTTAGAACTATCAAAAAATAACATAAATGCTTAATGATTTTTTCTTATTTCATTTTAAATCTGAAACGCTAAGATTTTCTTAACTTGTAACTTGACTAACTTGATCTAAACGAAGACTTATGACTATAAAACATATGTCCATAGGTATTTTAATGTTATATGTTCACGCTAGATCAATATATATATATACCTATATTAATATTAAATCTATTTTATAATTATATTTACGTTCCGACCAGAGAATAGCAAAACGAAATGTAGTAGCAGAGGGAGGGATCATATAATTTATATATATATATAAAAGTAATTATTAACATGCTATTATTCGTTATTATTGTTAATATAGATGTGTACATTTTGCCTTTCTATGTGTTCATGTTTCCACTCGAGCAACGTATATTTATAATAATATTGAATCGGAGTGCCGACCTCGGTAGTCGCGGAACTAGAGCCAATCATCGCTTACTGCAGTACAATACGTATTACATCTACAAAACAAAATATTAATGCTATAGTGATACTAAATGACGTGTATGATGGTAGGTATATATTACACTACCTATACATTTACATTACCGTACGTCGTTTCTTGTATAAAAACAAAAACTATATCCATTCGCTCCACTCCGTAAATACACACATCTCTTCGGGTACACGTCACGTAACAATGGATATGTTAAATAATATAGTAGGTAACCTATATATGAACACTACTTTACAATGAATATAGAGTCATTTTAAATTGACAAAGTTTTGGCACAATTTTCTATCAAATATTTTTCGAAATCAGAAAAAAATCTTGTTGTTCGTTTTAAATGCTAAATGGTGATGGAAATGGCGAATTTAAAATGTGATTTTTAATACATTTCTTCAAACAGAATCTATAAATTATGTTTAATGTTCAACCTGCAGGTGATTAGATATAATTGCCAACAGAGCCTATATAATGATATACCTGCTGCGATGCTAAATAATTGTCATTACACATCAATAAATATGTATATAAATATAACCGTATATTAAAAGACGTAATATACGTAGTGCTGAGAAACGATAATATGTATAAGTTATTTATTTTTTATGGTCGACAGCCCAAGGATCGATGATCTATTAAAGAATTTTCGTGGGTTTTTTTTTTAATTAAGCTTTATAGTTGTTTATACGTCAGTAAAATTTTTGATTTGTATAAGCACTATTAACTTACAACCGTTTTTATATATAGCAAATAATAATATTATATTATTAGGTACTTTTTTTTTTTAGTATTTCGGTAAATATATTTCAATACATTTCAGCGGTTTTCAAATGAAAAAAAAACCGATAACATCCACATTTGCTGTAAATATAACAGTACGATATAGTAAAAAAAAAGAAGATGTAAATGATTCACTTACAGGTAGTTTAGATAATATTTTGATTTAAAATAAAAAAAAAATAACAATATAACTTACTGCTTATTAACAATTACCAATAAATAACAGTTTACTACTTAAGTACAGGGTGATGCATCAAACATTCCTACCTTCTTATTTTTTTAAAAATAAATGTATCAAATTTTGAAAATGGATTTTTCAAATATATTTAAGAACAATTTTAATATACAATAATTCTTGGATAAGTTTAAAAAAATTAATAAATGTAATATTTGATGTAGTATTTACAATACTTAGATATTTATACGAATTATAAAATTTCAATTAATTATTCAAGTTTTCAAATATTCATATAGCTCCTAAAATATATTCAAAATTTGAAAAACTATCATACAAATTTGAATCGTTAAAAAACTACTCATTCTAAATTCGCTTTAGATACATGGACATTTTTCTAAGTTAAAAGTTTGTATTATTGCAAGACACCCCAAATAGTATAAAAATATAAATAATAATAAATATGGATTCCTTGTCCTGGTTCCTCACACTCAAAATTTGAATGAATTCATGTTTGCAAGCGAATTGCTTTCCATAGTGCATAATGTCTTATAACCCATGTATACCATTTTGTCTACATTCATTTATATTTTTTTTACCTCCTTTCCTCCGAATATATAATATGATAATAACATTTAAATAAAACGCATACGTTGCACGTATATAATAATATAGTTCTACACACAAAGTCTGAAGAAATCGTAGCTTTTTTTTCTTTTAATGAGTTACGTTAAAGATACATCGGTGGTAATAACTTTTGCGGGTTTTGGATGAAAACAGAATATTATTCAGAGTATTATGATGTATAAAAATAAAATTTCGGGGGCGTAGTTCATGAGAGTTATAGGCATTTAAAATTTAGTTATGAAAAGGTAAAAGTGTACCCACCCCGAAAAATTTCGGTCCACTGATCATCTAAACATTAAACACCTATATGTCATAATAGTATAGCTATCAGCCAGAAATTTGACTATTGGGTATCGAAATATTCCGAATAATATTTTGCTTTTGAAATCGAAAACGTATATGTTATCGTACAAAATTGTTAAAAAAACATAAATAATATTAAAAAAAAAAAAAATTTTTAATTTTTTTTTTTATCATTACTCGTAATAATTATACTCAAAAGCGATAATTTCTGAAACGTCAATCGTTTTCGAAACAATGAGATGCGGTTCGTCGTAAAACAGTCCGTCCTCCGGTGGTAGGTGTACGTCGTAATAATCGATCGCCTCGATCCCGCCGCGGAACCACCGTTTGCGTTTAGCCGCCCCGTCCTGTAAAAATAGTCAAATACCTACCTATCGTTCTGGCGGCGAACGGATTGCTTTGTTTGACAGTTCCGACGCCGCCACCGCCACCGCTGCCACACCACCGCCACCGCCGCCGCCGCAACAACGTTCGATTTATATTTCACTCGTCCGTCTTCTCGACTACTTAAACGCTCGTCGTCGTCGTCATCGTCCTCGTCGTCGTCGTCGTCGTCGTCGTTCTCGCCGTCCGAAAGATACGTACACACACACACACACACACACACACACAGATATATTTATTTATTTTTTTCGTTAAATATTTTCCCCGACCGATCTCGCGTGTGTCGTTTTCATCGTAGTCGTTACCCCACATCATCGCACAAAATAATAATATTGCTATCGTATTCGATCGTCGGCGTTACTTCCACGTCATGCAGGACTTGCATCGACTTCCCCGCCGCCGCCGCCGCCGCATTCGTCGTCCACAAGCCGCCTCGGCAGTCTAATAATTATTTATCGGTATAACTCTATATATATACGTAAACCTACTACTCAGTCGTGTCGTTAAAGTTTATTTCGTGAACATCACTCCACGCGCCAGTCACCACTCGGTCATGCGGTACGTTACTACCGTGGTAAGGCCTTTTATATTCTTTTATAATATTACCATGCAATAATAATAATTATTGTAAACACAACAGTATTTAAGGTATAACATATTACACGTTTATACGCGTTTTCAAATTATTAAAAATTATTAAAAAACATGTACATAACGTGTTATTTTTTCTTGGACGTTAAATCAATAGATTTTTTAAATGCACATTGTCACTTGTCAATAATATAATATTATGCACGTACTGTAATTTTCATACCATTAACATATTATTGAATTACTCGTCAAAAATAAACACATTTCTCTTGACTGATATTTTGATCAAACATTTTTATGGTCGCGGATATAATTGAAATTCATAGAACATAATAACATTTTGTATAGTAACATTTGCATTGTACATTCAATTGACTTTCAAAAATCAATGGTTATTAAATGTACATTTCTTTTTGAATTGTGTCTTAACTTACCATTATTTGATCTTCGGAGTCATATAGAAAGACTATTCAATAATAATTATATGTTCGTGGATATTTTTGTAAGATTTCCATTTTACACTCGTTCAGAAGTGCAAATGTGTGTATTTATTTTGATTTCAGTTAAATATATTATATCATTTAATTGAATATATACATATAAAATGTATCATTTATATTGCGTCATTGAGTTTATTTATTATATTTTTATTTTTATAGGTAAGGTGCATATTTAAATGACGCTTCTTTACTAGAAATATTATATTTGTAATCTTTAAAAATGTTGTATTCTTAATACGATCAAAAATAAATTGTAATTTATTTATTTAAATTATCTGTCACGAAAAATATTAGATTATAAATTCACTGAATCATATAAGGAAGTTTACAGATATGGAAAAAAGCTTAATCTATTGTAAACACACATAAAATAAATCTATACACAGTCATCGTATAACATTATATTATTTAAATTTGTAAAAATATCAAATATATGTTTATGAATATATTTTAAAAATTATGTTTCTGAATATATTTAAAAAATATATTTAGATATTATCAGTTATAAAATAAAATCTATTGATTGATCCAAATTGTTTTTTACTTTCCATTTGATATTATCATAATAATATCTTAAAGGACATGACGTATATAGTACCTAATACTTAATGTACTTTTTAATACTGTTATAACATTCTAAAATAATCATAATAATAATAGGATATTAAAAATAGAAGTTTTCTTCATCGATAATTTAGTATGTAAATTATTTTTTATTTGTATGGTAAGACGAAAACTTCAAAAATCACCACACTAATGAAATTAATATGCTAAATATTTTATTAACCACTATTTCATAATAATTTCTGAGAATTGTTTGCCGAATAGATCTTAAATATTCAGAAGAGTTTTGATGATCTTGTATACTTTTACTACGTTTGTAAAACCAAGTAATTTATAATACATACTAGAATATTTAAAATCTAGATAGAGAAGGGATGTATAAATTTTCTTAATTATCTATAAACTGTTTATAAACAACTCGTACGTTTTAACGATGATCTTTTATTATGTTTTTTGTGTGATTAAATATCGAAAGGTTACATATTTACTGTAAGAATATTCTATGTTATGTAAATATCAAATTAATTGATATGTTCAAATGGCTTTATTAAAAAAATAACAACGAAAGTTGTGATTAAAAATTAAAATGAATTGCTAGATATTATTTACTTCTATATATAATGAAATATAATGAACAATAATTAATATAGATACTCGTAGTTACAGTAGATTGTATAGTGTTAAAACTATAAATAAAATAAAAGTATATTGATCTTTAAATTAAAATCAAAGATTCTTTAGAACTTATGAGTGGCTTGTAATCATTTTAATAAACAGCAAACATGCTATTTAAATGAAAAATAAACTATTGGAAGTATTTAGACATTTTTAAAAGAATTTGAATTTAATAGTTGGAGTAATCTTCGGCACTCAAACTTGTAATTTTTAAGCATATCGGTCATTATAATTTCCAAGTACTGTAATCATTGAATATTTTATTATCTGTTCGGTATTATATACATAATAATAATCGATTTTTCATCTGTTTCCGGATAAAATCTTTTACTCTGTTTTATTAGTCAAACTTTCCAATTGGCAATCGACTAGAACATGAAAGAAACGAAAATAAATCATTTAAGTCTTAAAAATAGAGTTCGAATTGTTTGTCTGAATTTTGAAGATATAAGTAATTCTTAAGTTATGTTTTGTTTAAATATAAAATATGTATATAATATATAATTTTATAATTTATGAACACTAAAACAAAAAATATCATCTTCAAATGAAGTTTAGAATACGATATAAGAAACAAATATTTTGAAAAGTTCGTTTGAAACATGTAACAAAAATTTGGAAAATGCCTTTTCATGTATTTTCATACAACATATATGTTTTATGTTTATGTTACTATTGTTTTTACTGTTTTATAATACTTAATTCATTGCACGGCTCTAAAAATAATACATTTATTGAGTTGATATTCATTACTATTTAATAAGTTTGAAATTATAGGAATATGTAAATAATTTCAAAATATTTACACAAAAATAAATTTTGTACAATATATAAACTTACTAAACAAAACTATAGTCTATACCAGGGATGGGTAACTCAAAGTTACTATAGAGCCAATTTTTAGAAATTTAAAATATAGCGGGCCAGAACATAGAAAGCAAAAAAAAAAAAAAGGTCATTCAAAATATACATTTTGAATAGCATTTATTTTGTATATAATGAAATAGGACATAGGTTAAAATTGTATACCTATACCTAATGCAATTTAAAAATGTAGCGCGGGCCAGATAAAAAAGGCTCGCGGGCCGCCAGTTGCCCACCCCTGGTCTATACTATAGTCACATAATCAATTTTATTTTTATTTGAAAAAAAAACACCAATATAAAATTTTTTTTTTTAATTATTAAAAAGTTTAAAAATTTCAGATTTTTGGTATAACACATTGAAAAATAAATAATAATTATTATAATCATTATTAGAAATTAACTATTATTGTTATTAAAAAAAAATAATAAATAAGTCTATGTACGACTTTGATATTAAATTATAAAATGTTATACTTATAGAGTATATACTTTCTTTAGTACTCTTAATACTTAAAAATTTAATAGTTTTTAAATTAAATTTATTCTTATTTGCAGAATTTAAAAACAAAAATGTTTTGTACAAAATATACAAACAATAATATAATATTACTATCAACGAATTTGAAAAATGTTTAATATCGATATGAAAAATGAACATCGTAAAAAGTTCAATTTAGCGAATCTAGTGATATTAGAACTTTATGACTTTATGTTTCCAATAATTATTAGTAGTGTAAATTTATTTGAAATGTAGTCAAATACACGCTTCAGTTATTTATTTCTGATTTTGTTCATTTTACGTATCTATTTATGCGTGTAAGTTATTATACTTACGTAACTTAAATAATTTCACAGTTCGTTATGTGAAATCAAATTATTATGATGTATATATAAATGTAATATTGTATTTTCTTACTTACGTTGAAACCTAAAAGTCTCAACGTGAATGCGATATGACATAATACTATATACTTTCACGTGTAGGTGTTGAGCAGGAAAGGAATCTGCTGCAATTATGATTGCTATTGATGCGGATAATATTTAATTAATATTTCCTCTTGACTTCTTGTGAAATGACAAATATTCTTTATTAAAGACTGTACTTTGTATGACTACAGTGGCCATTGTTTATTAATGCATCTAAAATTAAACTTTAAGCTTAATCATGCTCGGTGCAACATAAAGTACAAACAAATACACAACAATTATTACAGTATAAGTTACCGAAGTTCTAAATTAAATTCGACCGATCATCGTTTTGTGTGGATAATATAATAAATTGGGAGCGAATCTAGAAATATGAAATGGAGTAAAGAAAAGCTATATATATTTTTTTTTAGAAAAAAATATATTTATAATTTTAGAACATAATTAATTATAGATATGATTTTATAATAATATAACCAATTTTATTTATAATTTAATTCATGGATTTTAAGTAGTATGAACTGTTTATCATATAAATAAATGCATAATGTACATTTCCAAAAAGGCGGGTTATCCTATTAGCCAACCACTCCTGATCCGTTACTGGTATTTTAGCCAGCTATTATTGATTAAAAAACTCATTATTTCTAATAATTGTAATCGCGTAATAATCGAATTTTAAATGAGTAGTTATTAAGTTATAAATTATAACTTAAAGTTTAGATGATCGGAAAAGTAGGCTTATCATTTGGAGAAGTGTTCCTGTGCCAACTTACGGATCAATTCAATTATTACATTTTAAATACCAACTTATAAGTTGTAACTAAATTGCTACTCGTGTGAAAATCGATTTTTATAAAATTCGTATCACTATTTATGCAAAAAATAATATTTTAATTTCATAATATTTAGAATCTTCTTGCCGTTATAATTGATAATACAATCTACAATCTTTACCAAATTATGCTTTCAAACTGTTTTAGCTGTAACACAAAATTCATATAATTAGCGTAGATATTATTTTAATAAAATTTATAGCATTTAATTTTTTCAATTAAATCATTAAAACAATTATTATTTGAGTATTTACAAATCTTAATAATGCGTTTGTTGTAAATTATTTTTAGATACGTATTGTTGTGTATATATAGTGCTAAAATATATGCGTTGTATCACTGCATACCTTATGTAATAAATAAAAATTATAGTTCTGTTTTGTGTTACATAAGTAAAATATATAAAAATATAGATTATTAACAAAAAGCTTAATAATTAAAAAAAAAAAAAACCTTAATATTATTAAGTATTAAGTACTATATAGATACACATAAACAACACGTGATACTTTACGTATACGTAACAAAATAACCAATATTCTCTTTAAAACACACACAATTAAAAATATAATAATACGCAATAGTTAAAAAAAAAAAAGTAAGAATTTAAAAAGT